CCCTTTACCTATTTCCCCACGACGGTAACCTTGTCCAAAACTATCCAGCCCAGGAGACCCTGGACATGCTGTAACTGTTGAAACTGTGAACTAGTGCAGGCCCTGTGAGAAACAGTCCGGCAGATCCTCAAAATGTTAAACACAGATTTACCAATTTAATTTATAGCAACATTATTCCCCAAAGTGGAAACCACCTAAAGCCCCTCATCAGATGAGCAGATAAACAGAACGTGAGCAGGCAGCGATACAGCTCAGTGGCACAATGCCTGCCTGGTAAGGGCGAGGCCTGGTGTTAGATTCCTGGAACCAAAACAAAATGTGGTAATCCACATCTAATAGGGCTGCAGTGACAACTCACTGGGGTTTTAGTTTGTGTTTCCCCAATGGGGAATGATGAGTACAACTCTTTGCGGAGACAAAATGCCTGACACCCAAAATTAAAGGAAGAAAGGTTTTATGGCTTCGTTTTGTTTTGTTTTTTGTATATCCCCAGCCTGAGGGAAGGTTTCTTTATCTTATTCTGTAGAGATTTCAGTCCATAATTGACTGACTCCAAGGCAAGGAAGGTGGCACATGGCAGAAGAGAAGCAGTTCATGGCAATGAAAACAACAAAAGCAGTGAGAGACAGAGATAAACCTTTCTGTCCTTATACTGTAGCCAGTCTGCCAGGATCAGGGCAGTGCCAATCCAATCAGTGGGCCAATGTTGCCATCATCCACCCTTAATCCCAGCATTGCACAATGAATCCGTCACACTCTAGATTCAGCCACCTCTGAAAAATCCCTATGACCACCTGAGGCTTTAGGGGTACATCTGGACACAGATCATCATGCCACACAATGGAATATTACTCAGCAGTAAAAAGAAATGAAGTTCGAAGTTCTTGACATGTTACAATCAGGGTAGACCTCAAAAACATTTTACAAAAAAAAATTTTTTTACCAATGTTTACCCAGTATTTTTTTAAATTCCAAATTGCCAAGAAGCTGAGGCAAGAGCATTGCTGTGAGTTTTGAGGCCGGGTTGGACCACGTGAGTTCTAGTCTAGCCTGAGCTACATAGCAAGATCCTGTGTCAAAAAAAAAAAAAAAGAAAGAAAGAAAGGAAGGAAGGAAAAAAGAAAAAGAAAAACAGGACAAAATTTTTAAGTCAGTCACAAAAAACCATGTATTGTATGAGTCCATGTGTATGAAATTTCCAGAATAGGGGAATTGATAGAGGTAACAAACAGGTGAGTGGTTGCCTAAGATTGGATGTGGAGCTGAACAGGGACTGATAATGGGTACAAAGGCTGTCTCTGGGGTGGTGAAATATTGTAACTCATATACTTACACAACTCTGCATATAGCATCATTGAATTGTATACTTTAAGTGAGCAAGTTGCTTTTCCTTTTTTTTTTTTTTTTTTTTGATTTGGTTTGGTTGAGACAGGGTCTCGCTCTATAGTGCAGGACGGCTTTGAACTCACTCTGTAGCCCAGGGTGACCTCAAATTCACCGATGATCCTCCTGCCTCAGCCTCCTGAGTGCTAGCTAGGATTACAAGCGTGGACACCACACCCAATTTTTTTTTTTTTTTTAAATCCAAATTGCCATTTCCTGCACAACATCAGCCTGGCCGGCCTCACGGAAAAATCGATGGTGTCAAAAGCCCAACACTGAAATTCCCCAGTCAAGATGCACAACAATTCCTGACCACAAAGGTCCCCAGGGTGCCCTTTTCTAGCCATAAGCCCTTCTGCCCACTCCTGGCCCCTGAGTTTCCACTCACTTGTTCATTTCTCCAACTTTGTCATGTCAGAGTGTAATAAAAGCGAATCCCACAATTGTGACCTGTAGAGATGGGCTGTTTAGAGACAGCATAATTCCCTGGGATTTATCCAAATTTGCATATGCATCAAAAGTTCATTCTTTTTATTGTTTTTTTTTGTTTTTTTTTTTTTTTTTTTTTTTTTGTACCGGGGATCAAACTCACGACCATGCACCCATTCTCTTTTTATTGTGAGCAGCTTTCCAAGTGACTTCGGGATGACTGTCATTTGGGTTAAATGGTGATATCTGTCGTTTGGGTTGGGGCTATTACCAATATCACTGCCAGGAACTCTCTTGTGTAGTTTTTTGGATAAACATAAGCTTTCATTTCACCGGGATAAATGCCCAAGGGCGTGACCAAGTTGCTGTTTGGTCACTGTGTTAACTTCAGAAGAAGCTGTCAAGTTGTTTTTCAGAGCAGTGGTTACATTTTTTTTTTTCCCCACCAGAAATACAGAAGTAGCTGTTTCTCTCATTCACTTTTTTTTTTTTTTTTTTTTGTCTTTTTCCTTTTTTATCAGTACCGGGGATCAAACTCACGACTGCCTGCTTGCAAGGCAGGCGCTTATGCCACTGAGCTAAACCTCCAGCCCCCTCATTCACTATTGCTATTGCTACTGTACTATTGCTAATTTTATCCTAGCCATTCTAATAGAGCTGCAGCGATAACTCACTGGGGTTTTAGTTTGTGTTCCCCCAATGGGGAATGATGATATACTCTTGTCATGTATTTATCTGCAGTCAAACTCAAAACTTTGCACTTGCCAGGCTGGCGTTGTGCTGCTGAGTTATATCCCTGGCCCTGGAGAGTATTTATGAGGTCAAATCTACCTCTTTAACCAGCCCTAGGGCCCCAATTTTTTTTTTTCTAAAAGTTACATTTTCAGGTGCTGATACAATTTGAGCTAATTTTTATAAAAAGTGTAATCTTAAGTTAGTTATACTTTGTTTTTTCCTTGCATTTGGTCCAGACTCCAACACTATTGTATAAAACCTTTGTTAAAAACTGCTTTGCTGGGGCTGGGGATTTAGCTCAGCGGCATAAACGCCTGCCTTGCAAGCAGGCAGTTTGTGAGTTCAATCCCCAGTACCGATAAAAAGGAAAACAAAAGACTGCTTTGCTTATCTGCATGGATCTTTTTCTGGGTTGGGCATTAATCCTTGTATTACTGCTCTGCCAGTATCACACAATCTTGATTACTATAGCTTTAGTGTAGGCTTTAAAGTGAGTGGAGAGCCAGGTATGGTGGTACATGCCTGTAATCCCAGCAATCAGGAGGCTGAGGCAGGAGGATCATTGTGAGTTCAAGATCAGCCTGGGCTACAAAGTGAGCTCAAGGCCAGCCTGAACTGCAGAGACTCTGTCTCAAAAAGACAAAAATAAATAAATAATAATTTTAAAAGTGAGTAGAGCAACTCCTCCACTTTGTTCTTCTTTCTCGATTATTTGAGGTATTTTACAAATAAACAAAAAAGACTTCTTGAAATAGAAATTATATTAAGCCAGAAGACGACTTTGGTGGATAACTGACCTACTGTTTTCTTGGCTTTTCCATTTCATGAAAATGGGAACCTTCTCCACTAATTAGCTCTTTTTGTTTCATCCATATTTTGTGGTTTTCAATATAAGGGCCCTGGACCCTGTACATGATTGGAGTTTATACCTACGTATTAACTTGCTTTGTGGAGGTTGTAAACAGTATTGTTTTTATATGAACAAACAGTATTCTTTTATATGAGTATGTGTGTTGATCTTGTGTCCAGTGAGCGTGCTAAATTCACTAGTTCTAGGAGGTTTTGTTGTTTTTGTAGATTCCTTGGACGTTTGTTTTGCGACAGGGTTGGTGTAGCTCAGGCTGGACTCAAATAGGCCACCATCCTCCAGCCTTTGTCTCCCAAAAACTAGCATTACAGGTGTCTCCCGCACCCCCCAGCCTCCTTGGAATTTTCTAGGTAGATACAATGTCATTTGCATGGTTTTATTTTTTTCTTTCCAGTCTTCTTTTATTCCTTTTTCTTACCTTATTGCAGTGGCTAGAATCTTGTCCTACGCTGAAGAACTGGCATCCTTGCCTTATTCTCAAGCATAGAAGGATACTATCTAACATTACAAAATATAGATTTTTTTAACCACAAAACATCTTTAAAAATTGGTTTTGTCTTTTTCCCCTCCCCTAGGACTCTTCCCTTCGTGGGGGAGGGTTAAGGCTTAGTGATTGGTCCAAAGGAGGTGACAAAGCAGCATAAGGGCGAAGGAGGTGTCAGCAATTCCTGCAGGAACGACAGGACAGGACAGGCCCTCCCTGGCCACGCGTGGGGTGACATCCTGCCTCAGCAGCCCTGACCAGACCCCAGAGCTCAGAGTCCCAGCCCTGGACCCGCAGGCCCAGGCCGGGAGGGGCGGCAGACACCGGTTTACTGCAGGCCCTGCCAGCCTCGCCGCCCGCCAGCCCGACTTGGCGCCAGCAGAGGCTCAGATACTCAGGATCAGGGTGGTGGAGAGGCCAGGCCAGAGTTAGATGGCGTGAACTGTTGGCAGCAGCTGCCCACAGGAGGACAGGATGGGCAGTGAAGAGAGGAAGCAAGCTGAGGCCTCCCGTCGGGGAGAGTCGGCTGGCAGCTGAAAGCCTCCGCGCCTTGCAGGGGAACGGGGCCCCGCTTCCTTGTAAGGACCGGAGACGGGCAGCCAACTAGGAAGCGGAACAGCCAACTGGAGCGCGAGAGAGACTGCCGGTGCAAGGCCCCTGCCTTCCTGGGGTGCGGCAGCGGGAACCCCACCCCACCCGCACCTGCGCAGGTCGGGAATCAGCAGGGAGGTCGGGCTAGGCGAGCGGGTGAGCGTGGAGGCCGCAGGCAAGGACGCAGCGCAGCTCCCCAGCCGCGGGGCACACAGCGCGAAGCTCGGCTGGGCTCCCCTTCCCACGCTTCCTCCGGGCGGGTCGTACCAAAGGCGCGGGGGGGGGAGCGGAGCGTGCCACTCGCGGGAGCCACCTGCCGCCTCGCACCCCGCCCCCGACGCCCGCAGGCCCCGCCCCACACGCCCGGCTCCCCGCTGGCCCCGCCCCGGTCCGCAGGCCCCGCCCCCGGCGCGGCTGAGCGAAGCCCGAGCGCTCGGCCGGCCGCGAGCCAGCCGGCCGGGGACGAGCGCCGCGGCCCATGCTGATCGCTGTCTTCCTCCTCCCCCTCAGGCGGCGCTGGCGGCGGCCCCGGGACCCGCGGAAGCCGGCATGCTGGAGAAGCTGGAATTCGAGGAGGAAGGTGAGTGCGCGCCCGCCGCCGCCGCCGCGCGCCGCGCATCCCCGCCGGGACCCCGCGCCCTCCCGCGCGGCCGCGCCCGTCCGCTCCTGCGGCTGCGTCCTGCGGGCGCCGGGCTCCGGCCGCACCGAGGGGCGGCCCTTTTGTCCTCGCCGCCGGGCCGGGATCCGAGCTGGGTGTCAGCGGCCCCTCGGAGCACGTCACGGGCACCGGGCACCGGCGTCCCGCGCGCAGCCCGAGCACTGAGCTGCAAACCGGTTCCTTATCGGGAGGTGGAAAAGCCTCGAGCAGGGCGTGTCTGCTCCTGACGGGCAAAGTTAAATCGTGGAACCGAGCGAGCGGCGCACGAGGTGGCTCGGAGTTCAGGACCCTGCTTGTCGGGGTCATCTCTGTCGCTTCTCCGCTCCTGTACGGTTTGCTTCTCCCTGCCCTATTTTCTTCTTGTGATCTTACAGGTAAATAACCTGGACCTTATTTGGAGGCTGTTAGCATTTGAAAGGGATGGATGAGCTTGCTTCTTGGCAGAATTAATATTTAAAACGGTGTAATGAGCTTCCCCCAGCATCCTGCTCTGAAGCTGTGAGCCTTTGAAGAGGATGAGCTTGTCCTCTGACAGAATTAATATTTAAAAGGCAATTGGATGAACTCGAAGTCGAAAGAGAACTTTATATAAGATGCTTGACAGTTTGGAGAATTTAAAAGGCCTCCTCGCTATCTTGTAGGCTCCCATTATTTATTTAGTGTCTTCTCTTTTTTTCCAGGAGTATTGATAGACTAACGCTCCAGAAACAAAGAATGTGCCATGTGGATGCTGTCCCTTGTGCCAACTTTACTTTAATACCCCTGTTCATTTGTGATCAGGCAATTACTTAAATAAATAAGCTGCACAGCCGACCCGGGAGCAGTAACCCGGGAACATGAGTGCATCTGGCAGACATGTTGGCTGCAAGGTAACACATCCACCCTCATTAAAAGCCCCTCTCCACATTTATTAGGAACAGCATTTCAGAATTGCCCTGGATTAAATGTCTTTTTATCTTACCAAAAGGTAACCCAATGTCTTAATTCAAATTCATCTTCCTTGGTTTAATGCAGGGCACGTTTTGACCACTGTCCCCCAGAATGGTATCTTGTGCCTTTTCCAATAAGATTTTGAAAGTCTAAATCAGAGGAGTTTTCTTTGTCTCTGATATTAGTAGCAATAAGAATCTATTGCATTGAAATTGTTTGCGGATTAACCTGGAGGCAGGAGCAAGCTGGAGAGCAGTATCTATTAGAAGGGAATCTTCACTTGTTTTAAGAACCCAAACCCACATGCAAATCTCATCGTCACTTCTTACCTGACTGTGTGACCTTGGTTAAGTTGCTTAACCTCTCTAGGCCTTAATGGCTGGCAATTTGAAGATAAAAGAGGCCGTGTAAATCATGGTATTTGGCTCATTGTGAACCCATTGCAAGCACTTTGTAAATGTTAGTTACTGCCATTAACCACAGCACCAAATTCGTGGACATTTTAAGCCTTTTATTAATGAATCTTAATAAGACATTCTTCTCAACACAGTTTTGGTGGCTTCTTTTGTTTTCCTTGGGATTTATTCATTTAATTATGCTGCATTTGTCAACGCGGGTTTACCATCTTTTTTTCTTTTGCATTGTTTCTACCAGTATAATGAATGTAAACTATTAAATCTAAGAAAGGGAACATCCCCTTTTCACCCACCTATTTTTATCTGTATTGCCGTCATTAGTTTAAAGCATGCTGAATCCCACAAATAACCCTGTCAAACTTTTCCAGATTTTTGAGGAGGCAGAATGTTAAACAATTACTTCGAAGCTGTGAGCCAAGCTGGAAGAAGGAATGATGTTGGCGTGGTTGTTCAAAATGCTACTTTGTGTCTTTGGAACCTTAAATTGCTTATTCATCTTTTTTTTTTTTTTTTTTTTGTCTTTTTGAGACAGAGTTTCACTATGCAGTTCAGGCTGGCCTTGAACTCACTTTGTAGCCCAGGCTGTTTTTCAAACTCACAGCATCCTCCTTCCTCAGCCTTTCTCCTCGTGCCGCGATTATAGGTATACATCACCACATCCGGCTTCATCCAGAATTTAGGAAAAAAAAAAATATTAAGCAGAATCGTGCATTGTGAGGTGGGGGAGGAGGGAGACTAGCAGTAAGACCACACACTTTTTAAATATTCCTTGAACTTCTGTGTTAGCAAACTGCATAGTAGGTAGCTATTGAATAGATCTTTGGTTTATCTTTAAAATTATTCCTTATCCGGTTAATACCTTAATTTATACAGTGACTCCTGGAAGCATTACTTACATTCTTTCAGTGCATGGAAGCACATGATTACTGATAGTCCTGTTACCAAGTGTTGTTCTATTTCCTAATAAATTATAAACCATACTGTACTTCTTAGAAGCAGTCGGAGGCACAAGCTAGCAAAGTCAGGGGGAAAGACCTGCCATGCACAGGTCAGCTCATCTTTTGCTTGGGATGTGACATGAGCTCTTCTCTTCTACCACCTTGACCCTCTAACCATCACATTGTGATGACAAGGACACTTGTCGACTATGGGTTTGTGGCCTCTGTCCTTCACCGCTTTCCCATCTGCATATAGGTCAAACACAGGCTCTCCCAGTCGCCTTTCTGTGCAGAAGACTCGTTAGAGGCCTTTTTAAAAGGAATGGGACCTGAGATACAGATATGGGATGGTTATAAGGACTTGGCTTCCCTTGCAGCATGGAAACAGCAGCCAAGGGCCCAACACTGAAGGCCTTAGGATTACCAAAGCCCCATGAGGCCTTCGGGCGTAGTGTGCACCACTCCCACTCTGGGTCCCTCGTGGTGTGTGAGCTATAAGGTGTCCCCCTTTCTGCGCGTCACTGATCTTACGAGGGCTTCAAGATGCAACCCAAATCTCACCTTCTCTTTGAGGCATCCGCTAGATAAATACGTACCTTCAACGCTTCCTCAGCTCAACTGCTCTCCTGGTGCCCACGGTAGGGCCATGTGGAAGGGGTGCTCTGCAGGACTTTCAGGATCCCAGTGATTACCGACATGTTTGTACTGACTCTGTGGGGTTTTGAGAGAATTCAGTGGTTCAGCTCATGAAACGTGATAAGAACAATGCCTTGCCCATAATGACCAGTTTACGCTTGCTTTTAAAATGTTTTATGGGGATACCAGTCACGTCTCTCCTGTTTGTGCCTATTGTTATTAATTTTCTGGTGCTTACTTGCCACAACCAAGCACAGGGCTTTTTGCAGACATCTGATCATAGCCTGTGTCTTTGAAATAGGTTGTCATCCTGCAGCCTCACTCTGATTAATAAACCTCCGAGAATCCTAGCACTGTTGGCGAATTCTGCAGCCTGCGTAGCAGACTATGTCCCCCCTGGGCTCCCACCTGTCATCTCCAGTGGTGTGAGACCTGCACCGGTCAGGTGCACTGTAGCTTGCTTGTGCTCTTCCGGGTGGCTTCTCCCCTTCCCTTTCCACCTGTGCCGACTTCAGTCCACTCCATTCTCCACCTGCAATGCATTTTGCAGAGTCGGATTCTTTCCCAGACCTCACCTGTGTGCTCCCTCACTGAAGCAGTCTAGCTAGCGAGTCCACAGGGATCAAAGAGAGGAAAGATGGGGACCATCTCATGCAGGAGGGGAAGCATTTATTTTCAGTCAAGAATTTCAGGGTTTAGGCCCCATTGTGTAATGAAGTGGCTCCATTTCCTTGGACAATCCTTGGAGTCTTTTGAGACTTTAATTATTATCATTGTCATTCTGGGTTTCCCAGTTTAAAAAATAAATAACGGGCTGGACCTTCATGATCTCTTGCTTTCCCTGGTAGCTCAAAAAAGAGGATCTGAGTAACCAACAACCATTATGTATAAGGAAATGACATTGATTTATAACTCATTTACTCCTTCTTGGGGCGGGAGGAGGGCGCCCTGAAGCCAGCCAGTGAGTGAGGATTGATTCTTGGTGGGAGGAAGCATTGGGCCATTGCAGTGGTTCGTGACCCTCCAAAGGGCCACTGTAGGGGACCCAGTGATGCAGGTGTTAGAATTTCCTAGGAAGAGGGCAGTGGAGGAGAGGGAAGGGACCAGGGGGATGAGATGGGGACAGGATCATTGCCTTTCTACGTCTGAAACTGTTGCCTGGCTCAACCCACTCAGCCCACAAGGTCACTGACTGGCATGAGGGGCAGTGACCCCTGGTGGTAGGAACATTAAAATGACACCACTTGATGGTCACTGCTGATACTCTGTTGCCCAAACTCTCCTTCCCTGCTGAGTTGCATGCTCTTCTGAAGCAAAGGATACATTGATTCTTGACTAGTGGCAGGTATGATTCTGTAAATACCTGGAGGCAAAGCCTTCCTGTCTGGCCAGGTATGTCTCTAACCTGTTGCCACGGTTGGTAGAGTTTTAGTTGCACAATTTAAAATCAAAAGCCAGGATAGAACATTTGGTGGCATCTTGGGGTAATTATAGACTGTTCTGGAGTTTGGGTGTGGTCTGTCCCCCAAAGGCACTTGGTGTTTCAGGGTGACAGTATTGAGAGGTGACAAGGTCATGGGGCACTACTCTCAGAAGAGCTTAGTGTTGGTGTCACAGGCACAGATTGGTTTTTTTCTAGAGCAGGTCTGGCTCCATACTCCTTGCTCACTTCCTCCCTTGTTATGAAACCCCCTGACCCTATGGAGACCTTCTCCAGACACAATGGTACTTAGATTTTCCAGCCCAGAATCACAAACAACCAGTTAAACAGAAAAATGCATAGGGGGATTTGGGGACATCTGAAAGTAGGATTTGTCACCAGGCTTCACAGGTGCTCACAGCCACGTTGAAAGTCATCTGGGACCATGGAAGTATCTGTAGTTGTCTCTGGGGTTGCATGACCTTCCCTGTCAGGACTTGCCCTGCAGCCTGGTGGGCGTGCCAAGAAACAGCCTGGGTTCCATCTCTGCCTGGCTCTAGCTCTCCAGCCCACATCCAGAGC